ATTGATATTGTTTGTGTCTATAAAACATTTCTACAAACTTCATTTTAATCTTCTGATAAATATACAAAACTCTTAAAAATAATTTTACATAAAGTATAAAATAAAAAATACGTGGAAATATAATTATTTATTTATATCCAAACTTATTTAATTAAACTTAATTTATTTAATATAAAAGTTTCCGAAAAGATCGATTTTATATATATTTGTAAATTATTTATAACATTAAAAATAATTGTATTTTATTATATAGAAAATTAATACAAAAAAGTATTTATAGACAATTCGCTTCTTAGGAAGTATTTATCATCGTTCTAGATGATAAGAATCGAGACCAAGAGTCTGACCTGCTTCTGAATTATGAAATTGCTGCAATAATTAATTATAGCGCGTTGCTGATCAAGATATGTTTATATAAGCAAATGACTAACCTGGGACGTTTTCTTAGACTCTGCCATAGTAAATGTGATGTCCGATTCTTATTTCTGATGATTGATCCTCGGTCTGTCGTCAAGACCGCATTGACGACAGCTCTGGGCGTCGACACGACCAGACTGCTATAATAATACACAATGGCAACAAGATAATCCAAATTATCGAAGATAATTCGAATCCAAATGATTATATCGAAAGATAATTTCCGGATCTACTTAAGCAGCGCTGATGTTCAACAAATACGTTTTCGATTGCATCTTGATTGATTTACACAACGTGACGCAAATCAATGTTTTTATTTTATTACAATTTACGCTATGAGATATATTGCAGATTGCAAAGAAAATCTGATAAGACAATAATGTCATTAGATTTGCAGATAACGAAGTGCGTTTCTGAGAATGCCAATTCATCTTAACACTTTAAACTGAAAAAATATGCGCATACGACCTTTAATAAATGCTGCTTTAAAAAAATAAAATATTTATATTAAGAAAAAGAAATTTATTTCCCCAATTTTTTATAAAGTTAAAATTTGTCCAGTTTCAATATGAAATATATATTATTAATTCAAAGAATTCTAATCTTCTTTGTTATTATAAACTGAATGATTTGAAGAAAGCCCGCTTGAAATTATAATGTTATTAGATGTAAGATCAACTTTAGTAAATATTTGAAGTAACAGAATTTCGTAGCAATGTGTGATTTAGAGATAAGACTGTAAAAAAGATCTGCAAGGAAATCTTTTCTTTTTAATACATTCGCTACTTTCTTCTTCCCCTATCTTGGCGCTTAGATATAGAATACTTACTATACTATAAGAGCCACACTTGTCTCAATTAAATAGAAGTAAATTCTTTTTTAATTTACAAAAAATCATATAATAAAAAAAATCATAATTAAATTGTAATTATTTTTTTCTGATCATTAAGCGGGCAAATGAAAACGGTTCATATATTAAATTAAAAACATTTTTTTAATAAATTATTTTTCGCACATTCTGAGTCGTGTAAAATAATTTTTGGATATTTAAATGCTTAATGTCTAGAAAAGAAAATTAAATATGTAACCTTTTTGCGATCTGAATGGTTAAAAGCGGATCTAAATGAATGATCTAAAAGCAGAAAAAATTGGTTTTAAATTGGCTTTATTTGATTTATCATTTATGTTGATAAAACCTCTTGTCAAATAGAATAAAGCAATTCTTAGCAATGAATAGACACAAAATGGAACTAGAATTGATCTTCTCACAAAACAATAACCGTTAACTACACAGACTTTGACCGGCTGAACAAAAGGATTGCCCAATTATAAATAGAAAGGCCTACATATTTTATTGCCACTATATTATACTTGTACAAGAAATATAGATCTTTGGGATTTTATATTTCTTAAGCTTAAGAACCTAGAAAACGAAGACTATTCTTGTAATCTTAATAATAAAGAAATTTCTTAGACCTAGGAAACTGATTAAAACTGGTTTAGCCCCATTCATTATCGCTACTACTACTTCTATCACTATTATGTAATAATATTTATACTTGCAGTCTTAATTTGAAATAGATAAAGAAAAAGAAAAATAAATTCTTACATGAAGTGAGATTATGACGTCAAATAATATTAAAACCTCTTATAAAATCATAATGAATCTTTTTCTTTGGAAAGTACTGAATCAATTATTATAGAATTTTTAAATTTCTTAAAAAAACATGGATTGTAATTTAATGATATGTTTTAAATACTATTTATAATTTTATTAAAAATTATGAGTAAAATTATAAAAATTACAAAAGGTTGACTTTTTCAAATCTAATTAAAATTCAGAAATAGTTTATATTTAAAAAAAAGCATTGATCAAAATATAATTAGTCATATAAGAAAAAGGATTTTAAAAAAGATCATTCCAATTTGAATGATAAGAAAGAGAAATAATGACAGATGCAGTAGTTTCGTTCTATGATTTCGCAACTCTACTTTCACCCTTATTTCTTTTAATCCTCTTCTTTCTATATATACAGAATTTGAAAGAGAGATTTCTTTAAACTACGATGTAACAAACCTAATATATTTGTCTCCGGGTACTATTGATTTCTTAGCTTATACGTTGCGGATCGCGATAAAATTCAGAAATGAAAGGGAGTGACTGCGGAGAAAAAAAGAGCGTGCCACTTTATCGTGGAAATGTCGACGGCAAGGAAAAAACTGTTTTATTCGAAAGGATCGGAAAAGAAATGATCTCCCTATCGCCCGATCGCGTATGCTGGAGCATCGTGATAAAGGGAAAACGATTCTCGAATGGGAAAAGCGAACAAATCTGCTCCCACGGAGTGCTGGGATAAAAGAGACGATTTGCAAACTTGCTCTTGGAGTGACACATACGGAGCCCCCCCGATTCCGTTCGGAAGGCAAACGCAAGCACGAAGTTATCGTTTATAAAGATCCCACCCGACGGAGAGAGAGCCGCGACAAACTTTATGAATTATGGAACAATCCCGTGTCGGAAAAATAATAGGCACCGCGTCGTTTCGTTTTGATTCGATTATTTCGTCTCATATGTCAGCTAAACGTTTCTAATCTGGATCCTATTTCTGGAAAAGGTTCCCAAACTCGTATGGCATACCACATAAAACGTTTATTGAGAGATCCCATTATTGCAATATAATATACATAACTTACACTTGTACGAGACAAAAAACTCGGTCCGACCAGCAGATTTGCAGGTCAACCAGCAAAATTCGAAAAGCGGAACCTTACGCGTGGATTGACTCGTCGTGACTCTTTATTTACAATGCAAATAGCCAAAAATGGAAAGTGACGTGGTGTAGCACATACGTACTACGTTTCGTCGGAAAATTGCGTGACAATTTCTCCAACTTCGGTCAATTCGACAGTTTATCTTTCGCCGCTTTATTACATTTGCTCAGTGCGGATGGTACGCTAATGCAAACGTTTTTCTTTAAAGTTCTACGCCACGTGTCCTCATTTGCTCCATCTCTCACTCATATTCTATCCACCCCCCTCCTCCCCCCCCCCGCTCAGCGAACTACATTGAGCAGATGCGCGATCGATGTTACCAATGGGCCGACCGCTAAATCGTAGCGTGTGTTGTTCGTGTGTACTCCGGTTGCTCGAAGTCACAGCACTAACACTACAGATAAAATTAACAGAAGCGACCGCGCCAAAAAGGGCAAACTTGCTAAGCTTGCGTAAATATAGTCATTCTATCTCGCAGAATGGGCGTTTTAAGCTTCGAGATTTCGGCGTCTGAACTCGTCTAATTAATTCCACAAACCAAATGAATTCTACATATATTCTTCCTGATTTACTCCTTCTTTTTCTTCACTTTGAATTTTATTCCTAAATGGAACACAGTACCAGGAGTTTATATCTTCTCCTCATTTACGATATGTTTGGTACGTTGCTGCTGAGTCGTTTCACAACAAACGGACGAGCTTATTATTCAGATTATGTACATATAAGATTACGATTACAAGAAATTCTAAAAGAATTTTAAATGATTGATGAAAGAAATAAAAGAAGATTCATCAGAAGAAGATAAGAAGATAGTAAAAGATGATGCAAGAACCATATGATAGAAAAGGCTTGATGGAGAAGGATAAAGGCAGAAATTAGAGGAGAGAAAGAGAGAGAGAGAAGCCAAGGCCCAAATTAAATTACAGTACCATAAAAGAAGATATGATTAGAGATAGTAATCTATTTCTTTCAATCCTCTTTCTCGTATCTTTTTTTTCTATCTTGCTAGTATACGACATTTCATCATTAGCGAGCAAGCTGAGCGTTTTACGGCGATTCAATTTGCCTTCCGCGCTCTATTTATTTTCTTTATCCGCGAAACATATCTTTAAAGTGATGACATAATCGCGAATAATGTATCGCATTCTAGTTGTGTGCGTATAGCTACGTGGAAATAGACCATCAAAAGCCGAAAACACAGGTGGACGAAGAGTCGGGCACTTCCGGTAGTCGTTAGTAGCGTCGATAAAAGCATCAGGAAGATAATATCGTTCGCACACGTACGATCTGGAGGAAGGTGAAGTAATGGTTAAGGTCACCTTCCGATAATTTCGCGATTCTCCCTTAATAGTTAAAATGCGGCGATCAATAATTAAAGAATACCGATAGCATCGATGTGATATCGTGTCGTTTCACTAGCAGATCTCATTGAAAACATATCGCGTATCCGGCATGTGACATATATCCAGGATAC